TCCAAGGCCCCTCCCCAACGGTAGATTTCCAGGCCTCTTCAGTTTTGTTTCAGCCACAGCAGTTAAGTGTTCCTGGTGCAGGCAGAGTCTGTGTGTGTGTATGTGTGTGTGTGTGTACATGTGTTTGTCCTATTTTACTTCGTAAAAAACTCAGAAAATGGGTTTTCCTCTCCCACCATCTTTATATATCCACAACTACAGTTTTGTTGGGGAAAAAAAATCCTTACCTACTTTCTCTTTGCCTTTTCTACAGGCATAAATGGGAATTTAGAAAAATCTCAGGTAGCTGTGCAAATGCAGCTGAGACCAGTGAATGTGTGTACCACAGGTGTCCGGCATGGCTTTACAGAGGGACTTGCGTGTGTGTGCATGTGCGTGCGTGTGTGTGTGTGTGTGTGTGCATCTTGCAGTATAGCTCAGAGTGTAGGTGTTTCTCAGATCTGTGTTTTATGTCCTTATAGGACTATGAGAACTCAGATTCTCATTGCCCAGGGACAGCTGTAATGTATCTGAAGAGGCAAAAGATGATGCCTCAAGTAGCCATGACTCTTGCACTAGGAAGAATGGACACATCCTGACACGTAGACTCTAGCAGCTATAGTAATAGGTTTAGGCTGCTTGGTACCTTTACTCTTTCTTTCCAGGGAAGGGAGGTAGGGAAAACTTGGAGAAAAAACAAAACAAAACAAAACCGATTTCTATTCATACTTTCCATTCTATTACTTTTTCTCTTAAATACAGTTATCTCTATTAGGATTCAGAAACTTTAGAATAGAAGAAGAAAATAGGATTCAAAAAAATGAAAACAACAAAATTAAAAAGAAACCTTCTAAATTGAATTTCTCATATTTATCCTGGTCCCCCAGGACCACCAGTCCACACAGATCCCAGTGACAGCTAGAACTCAGGCCAGACTTCTCCAGTTCCATGTATATTTGTTTCTCTGCCCAAAGAGAGACATTTTCACTTAGCCAGAGTGTTTGTCTACCCTTACCTTCCCCTGAACTCCTTCCTTATCCTAAGATCCAGGTGAGTATTTCCCACCTCTCTCTGTCCACCCACATCCCAAATATCACCTAAGGAACTGGGGAAGAACTCTCCAAAGGGAAACATGAACCATACACATCTTTACTGGAGAATCCCATAAAAGTAGGTCAGAAAGCTGCTGGACTAGGAGTCTTGGTGCCTCCCCACTGCTTTGCTTGGGTGGTATCAATAGTTATCCAATCTGCCTGTTGCTTTTAAGAGAAGTAGAGTTAGAGCTAGGATTAAGAAAAAGAGAGAGTGTGTGTTAGTTTAGTGTTGGGAATAATGTAGGGACTCAAGTTCCCCTTCCAGATCTAATTTTGAACCTAGAGGGTTGATTGAGAAATGAGGCCATCTGAGGCAGCCTAACACTGGTCATTTGATAATTGACATTTTCTCACCATCCGTCCTTTCCTTTAAAAAAAAATAATGTAACTTGGAAGAATATTATTATACTAAAACATTTTATTTTTTAATTAAAGAGGGTTCATTATGCTACCCGTCTCATCTCGTCCCAGAGGAGGGAAACCCTGTGTTCAGCAAGTTTGCTAAGAAATAATTATAGGTTCAGATCTTCCCCAGGCCCCGAAATTCAATTAAAATTTTTTTGTTTTAAGTTGCTTGCAGTCACATGGTATGTATGTGTGCATGCGTGTGTTAGTGTGTGTGTATCCCAGTTTTCCTTGTCACTAGCTATCTTTGCAATAGGTCCTCAAAGATAATGATTATCTCCATTGTCCTTGCCCAATTTCCTTGACTATCTAGGTGAGCAGATATTAACATGTTGAAAAAAATGTTTCTGTGAAAGGAGCCCCACTTAGTTTTTGTGTGTTCATTTGTTTTTTTGACTAGAATCACCCCACTTGTCCATCAGTCCCAAATTCCCTGGTTGGTTATCTGGTTTATACTGAATTAGAAGGTCAGTGTAAATCAATGGCTACCAACCTTCATTGTAGATCCAAATCACCTAGGGAAGTTTTGTTTTAAAGAATTATTTTATTTAACTTTATTTTAATTTGACCAGAGAGAGAAAGAGAGAAAGTGAGAAAACAAGCCACCAGGCCCAAGACTTGAATTACAGTCAGCCATATGGGAGTCCAGCACCCTTAACCACCATGCCACTGGCAGGCCCCACCTGGGGAAATTTCGAACAGTAGAAATCACTCGCAGATGCAGCAATTCAGCTGATGTGGCCTGGAGTCCAGGCATCAGTAGTAGAAACTTCTAAGGCCTACCAGGTTGCCTAGTGATTAAGGCAGCTGGATTCTATATGGCCAACTGCACAGTTCAAGTCCTGGACCCAGTGGCTTGAAAAACATGCTAGGTGCATGTGCATTCATGTCCAAAATTCTGAAAGGAGAAAAGAGAAGGGACTGCAGCGGGGCCATCTGCCTCCCCCACCCCCCCTCGGGGGGATGCTTTCTCGCTTTCTCCCTCTCTCTCTCTCTGGTGAGCATCCATGCCCTATAACAGACTAAAAACAAAACAAAACAAACTTAGATGTCTCTAATGTGCAACCAGGGCTGAGAACAACTGGAGAGATGGTGGCTGTGTTTGGATTGCACAGATGACATGGGGATTTGGTGTTTAGTCAAGACACACCACCAAGGTCATAAGGCCCAGTCTGATGCACCCACCCACCCCCCACACACACACACACTCAGCTTACTGTATAGCTATTTTAAATGGTGTAAGCACAGGGGCAGAGTGGTTTCCCCTCACTTCTCATCCAGACTCTGAGCTATATTTAAACTAGGTGGGGGCAGTCATCAGTTCCCACCATTACTTCTTACTCCATCCCCAGTAGAACTGCTCCTGTGTAGGCAGTGATTACTTAGGGAGGACGGTGGCTTCAGTTAGACGACAGACCCTGTAGGAGCTGGCGCATCTAGGACACTCCAGGATGGGGCAGTATTTATGAGCTCATTTAAGCCAATTGGCCTCTTCCCCAGTTTAAAGAAAATGGCTAAACCCCCCAGGCTTCAGGGCACAGGCCCTCCTAGCAGCCAGAAATATGGCAAGAGGGTGGGTAGGGCTGTGTGTATGAGGCCAGATTCCTACCAGATAATAAACCAAAATAGACATTCTAATAGAAATCTAATAAATGAATTAATAAAGTAAATAACATAAATGCACCTATGAATCCCCATGTATCTCAGCATATAAATGTATATAGACTTATATATATTAATGGCTTCATAATATATGTGTATGTGTATAGATTTAAAGAGATATTATTTAAATTTATTTATATAATTGCACTAGGCTTGTGGGAAAGGAGGTACTTATGCAGTTATCTCAGGCATATTATTTGAAAATTGTAGCCATTTTCATGTTTTGACTGAAAAATTCACCAATATCCTGATGTTCCCAAGTATTTCAATTTATAAAGTATATATGTATAGTATACAGGTGTTTGTTGTTATCTATATTAACTTTTTCAGAGGGAGGATACTGAATTTGTATAGACAGCCAAAGTGGACAATTCAGACTCAAATAATCTATGTTGAGGTTTAGATAATCTGAGTTTACTAGTTATATCTAAACCATATATATATCCTTAATAATATAAAGAAGTTGAATGTACTTCATTTTGCTTTTGAGGATGCAGGTGAATAGTGAATATGAATATTAGTAAGACCTTTGGGCCTCCCTTCACTTATCTGCATTCTTAGACAAAGAAAGAATCATTTCAGCTTGATTTTTGTGTTGAAGTCAGAATCTCAATCTCTCTCTTTGCATCCTCCTCTCTCATACACTTGCATACACAAAGGCATACACCTTCTCTCACTCTTTTGACAGATTGATCCTGATTTCTTCTTGGGTTTGATAGACAACATCTGGATGGTCTAAGCAGGGGAGGAAGTGATGCTCAGTGGTCTCCAGAGACATCAGTACTCTAATACACATTTTCCATATGTGTAGATAGACGCTGATATATGTAGAGATTTGGTTTTGTTCCAAAAAAAATTTCTTGGCTTGGCTAAGAAATTATTTACTGGGCCAGCCTGTTATACAGCAGTTAAACTGTACAAGGGGAGCCAGATCTCACATGGTCAATCCTGGTTTAAATTCTTGGCTTGAGAAACATGTTGTGCATATGTACAATGTCGGCTATCCTGATGGGATGGAGAAATGGAAGGAAAAAAGATTGCAGAGTGGCCAGGCTCTATGGTGAGGTACCTTCTCTCTTTCTGGCAAAAAAAAAAAAAAAAAGAAATTATTTACAAATGACTACAAAATCCTTGTCTGAATTCTATGTCATTTCTGCTTATCTGGAAATAAAATTCAATCTGTATCTGAAACTGGAACCGATATAGAACTGTGTCTTTCCGAACTCCCTCCTAGAGCTGGAGCTACAGGTTGCACAGTGGACATTTGGGAGTGGGAAGGAAACCATCCACCACTATCTTCCTGTCCCTAGTGGATAGTCTGGGTTGAGCCAATGACAGAGGCTCCCCAGACTCTGCTTTACAGGTCCATTTATGATGAGTTTTTTATGAAAAAGAATATAGATGAGTTTTAATAAGATTCCTCTCTCTCTAGTCTGGCTCTGCAAGAACTTTGGTTTAAATATGCATTTCATTCTCCTATTGCTTCTCTTAACTGGTTGACCAAAGCAAAATGAGGCATATGAGGAGATAAAAACAACCTTTGGAAAAAGACAATCCTGTCCAAACCCTTGTTTAGCTACTCACAGGTGAAAGAAAATAAAACGTTTTTTTTTCTGAATTATTTGGTCTCCAACATCCCATTTTACTAAATACGTGCAGCATGAAACCAGCTTCATTGTTTTACTTGACTCCAAATCTCCACTTTGGCATGAGTGTCTAGGGTGAGGGCGTAGAACTGCTCCGTGTATTTCAGGGATATTGCTCTGTTTCCCCACACTGCTACTGATGGGGCTGTTAATCACAGTATGGATTTCATCTAGGAGATTTTTTGTCACATACAGCGTCGCTTTGTGCCAGCAGAACGAAGAGGAACAAGAGGATTGGACTGGCTACTCATTTGCTCCTTCAGTAAAAGCTTATTGAACCCTTACCATGTGCTAGGCTCTGGATGAGGTTCTATGGTAGCAGAGAACCAGAGCCTTGTCTACAGGGTATTCAGAGTATTAGTGGAAGAAACCAACATATCAACAGGTAAGTGTAACATAATGTGCTAAGTATAGTGACAGATACACACAAAGTATTATAAAAGCACAATGGAATAGAATCTAACCCACTCTTTGGGGTGAGGGGAGTTGGTGGAACTATCTCAAGGAGAAGCCGGTATTGAGAGTGGCTATTTATTTGGTTCACTTAGTCCTAACAATGGTACTGTGTTTGTTGACTGAATCGACTGAGGATTTGTTAAGGCTCTTGGAATGCAGGGACAAAAGCATGTAATAGGCGACAGGAGTTCTGGGTTCTGGTCTGTGCTCTGTGATTGCAGTTTGTGGATGAACCATGTCACTGCTTGTCCAGATGAAGTTAGGAGACAATCCTGGACAAACACAAGGCCTTGACTTCCTTCCAGAATGTGTATAATATTATAAGAAATCAAACCAAGGTTTTCTTTCTATAAGCCATTTATAAAACAGTTTTCAGCTGTCTATAATCGAGACCTTTCTCGATATTCTGTGAAACTTTCAGAAAGTATTTGTAGTTATTTGGGAGAGTATTTGTTCTCCAGAAGGTTGACTAGTACTAAGGAGGTTAGATCCTGGGAGAAAGTGAAACTATATGTTCAAGAACCCATTTGGCTTAGTTCTGTCAGTGCTGAAACATGGTTTAAAACCTCTCCATGCTGGAGTCAGGCTGTGGCTCAGCCTTCGCATGGCTGGGTTTACGTGGGAAGGGTCCTAGGTCTCTACCCTGGGGCCTCCCTGAGTACTCTGCAGTGTAGGTGCCTGTAATCTGAGCCTGCTGAGACTAAAATTAGTTCGTGGTGTGAGGACCCCAGTAGGGGTACCTCTCTTATGACAGGAAGAAGCAAGTTAATAAATAAATGAACTAAAAACCAACAAAAAGCTACCTTGTGCTTAGAGCAGCAGGGCAGCAGGCAGGGCACAGGGACCACATTGTTCTCCTCCACAGAACTACCGTTTGCTTCTCTGCTTGAGCCCAGGAGAGAGCAAGACTGGTGGCCAAAGTGTTCGGACCTGGTTGGAACAGAACTTGCATGCTTCCGCTTTTCCTTAAAGGGAAACAAAAACTAAATGTTGCACATCTATTTAAACAACTCAGTGTTAAAGCTCACAGTGTCCTTTGCCCTCGGCCTCCAGAACACTAAAATTCTCCTTTATCTCCGTTTTCTTCTCTGTAAAATAAATATAATAGCTCTTGCCCAGCTTACTATTTAATGTGCTTTTCTTTTACACTACTTCTCACTGTTTAGAATTTATATCTGTCTTCCTATTGGGTCATCAGAAAAGTTGTGATGCATTTTTACATAGAAAAATATAGAAAAATGTGTTATGACTTTTCTGATGGCCCAATAGGTGGTAATATTCATGAAGGCAAGGGTTGTTTGTTTTCTTCTATTTAATTCCCAGCATCTAGTATGGTGCTTTCTTGCACTAGTCAGATGATAAATACTTTTGAATACGTGAATGAGCAGTATTGTCAGGATCAAGTAAGATGAAGTATTTAAATCTCTTGCCGGGCCACCTGAGCCTTAGCAAGCTCATCTTGCCATCCCGGCCTCTCTCCTGCAGAGTGGCTGGAGGAAAAAAACTGGTCAGTTGATTCCTGACATGAGTGCAAAGACAGTTCAATGGAGAAAGAATAGCTTTTTCAAGTAGTGCTGGGACAACCGAATAGCCACACACAAAGAAGTTAAGTCGAACAACTACATCATGCCACATATCAAAATTAACTCAAAATGGATCAAAGACCAAAATGTAAGAGTAAAAATGTAAAGCTCTTAGAAGAAATGATAGGTATAATTCTTTATGATCTGGGAGTAGGCAGTGGTTTCTTAGAAAAAGACACGGCAAAAAAACATAGATAAATTGGACTTTAACAAGATTAACTTTTTTGCTTCAAAGAACACCATCAAGAAAGTGAAAAGGTAGGGACCAGCAGTGGAGGTAATGGCTATGTCACTGGACTCCCATGTAGTCGACTGCAATTCGAGTCCTGGACCTGGTGGCTTAAACTCAGGTCAGGCGGGTGTGCGTGCGCCCAAGATCCCGAGAGGAGAATGGAGGAAAAGGGACTGCAGCGTGGCCACCCCACCTTGGGGATAATTTCTCACTTTCTGTCTCTCTGTCACTCTGTCTTTCTGATGAGCGCACGTGCCCTATAGCAAAAACCTCTCAAAAATAAATAAATAAATAAATAAAGTGAAAAGACAACCACATACTGTGAGAAAATATTTGCAAATCCTTTATCTGATAAGAGACTTGTATCTAGACTTATGCAAATGACACAACTCAATAGTAAAAAGACAAATAGTTCAATTAAATGTGGACAGAGGATCTGAATAGACATATCTCCATAGAAGACATATGAATAGCCAATAAGCACAAGGAAAATATGCTCAACATTATTAGTTATCAAAAAATAAAAATAAAAACTACAATGAGACACCACTTTATACCCACTAGGATGGCTATAACGATAACTAAAATAAGATACTAATAAATATTGGGAAGTAGTTACTATTTTGATGCTTCCAAACCATCCCAAAATGTATCCTTATCCTATAGAATGGTGTGGGACAATCCCTTCTATGGTGAATGTGGACTTTTCAAAGAACTTTCAAAGGGACATCATAAGGGAGATGCAGATTAAAACCACAATGAGATACCACCTAACCCCTGTGAAAATGGCAAAGATTAAAAATATAAAAAGTGGTGGGGCCAGCAGGTGGCATGGTGGATAGGGGCGCTGGATTCCCACATGGTCAACCATGGTTCAAGTCCTGGACCTGGTGGTTTGCTTTCTCACTTTCCCTTTCTCTTTCTCTCTCTCTCTCGTCAAATAAAGAAAAAAATAACAATAACAAATGGAAATAAATAAATAATTATATATATATATATATATATAAAAAGTGGTGAGTGTTGGCAGGGATGTGGTGAAAAGGAAACTCTCCTACACTGTTGGTGGGAATGTAAACTGGTTCAGCTACTGTGGAGAACAATATGGAGGTTCCCCAAAGATCTACAAATAGACCTTTCCATCTGGCGGCAGCCATCAGGTAAGTCAAGATGGGCACATACAAGTACATCCAGGAACTGTGGCGGAAGAAGCAGTCCGACCTGATGCGCTTTCTCCTGTGGGTCTGCTGCTGGCCATACCGTCAGCTCTTGGTGCTGCACTGGGCACTCCGCCCCACCTGGCCGGATAAAGCATGCAGACTGGGCTACAAGGTGAAGCAAGTTTATGTCATATATAGGATTTGTGTCTGGCATGGAGGCTGCAAACGCCCAGTTCCCAAGGGTACAACCTATGGCAAGCCTGTCCATCATGGTATTAACCAGCTCAAGTTTGCTCGAAGCCTCCAGTCTGTTGTAGAGGAGTGAGCTGGATGCCACTGTGGGGCTCTTAAGAGTCCTGAATTCTTACTGGGTCGGTGAAGATTCCACATACAAATTCTTGGAGGTTATCCTCATTGATCCATTCCATAAAGCTATCAGAAGAAACCTTGATACCCAGTGGATTACCAAACCAGTCCACAAGCACAGGAAGATGCATGGGCTGACATCCACAGGCCACGAGAGCCAAGGCCTTGGAAAGGGCCACAAGTTCCACCACACTACTGGTGGCTCTCGTGGTGCAGCTTGGAGAAGGTTCAATACTCTCCAGCTTCACCGTTACCACTAATCTTAAGAAATGTTTGTAAAATTCATACCTAATAAACAATTTAGGACAGTCAAAAAAAAAAAAGGGAAAAAAAAATCTACAAATAGAACTACCATTTGATCCAGTAATTCCACTTCTGGTTATCTCCCCAAAGGACAGGAGAATGCTCGGTCGGAAAAGCACTTGCACATCAATGTTTATTGCAGTTTTATTTATGATCTCTAATACATGCAACCAACTCAAATGCCCACAAACAGATAAACAGGTTGAAAAATGTGGCACATATACTCTATGGAATACTACTCAGCCATAAAAAAACAACAAGACCCTGGCATTTGATAGAAAGTGGTCGAATATGGAGGATCTATTGCTGAGTGAAGTAAGCCAGGATATGAAAGAAAGATATTGTATGTATCCACTTAATATATATTGTTTATCTGCACTTTATGGTAGAGATAAAAATATTGGAGGGTGAAAATAGTTAATGATGATAAGACTGTGGAGCGGAGTGAGAGAAGAGAAGAGTATAGAGAAGGATAGCAGGGGAACAAATAGAGAGGCATGACATTAGTG